GCCTGGAGTAGGAACCCAAGGTGAGAAACAATTTGTCACTACCTCCTAAGACTTAATTAGGAAAGCAATAGCCGTCCAGATATTTGTCTTTCTTTACATCTCGTTTTAATTGAATGTCTTTAAAAAATATATAGAGGCTAAGAATACTGTTTTTTTTTTTTTTTTTAAGATTTTATTTATTTGACAGACACACAGTGAGAGAGGGAACACAAGCAGGAGCAGAGGGAGAGGGAGAGAACAGGCTTCCCGCTGAGCAGGGAGCCGGATGTGGGGCTCGATCCCAGGACCCTGGGATCATGACCTGAGCTGAAGGCAGACGCTTAACGACTGAGCCACCCAGGTGCCCCAGAGGCTAAGAATACTGTTTAAAATAAATTTTAGTAGACTTGATATTGAGGTTTTTATTATTTTTATTTTCTTTTTTTAGGTGAAAAGGATTATTGGGTAGCAAAAATGTCCCTTCTGTCTTCCCATTTTTCTTATGTTCATTTTCCTCACACTGAGTAGATCAGTACTGAATATACAAAATTTGGTGCCCAAACCATGTATCCTTTCTCTTTCTGGTCACAGCATGTCCAAATAACAGACAAAATATCTAAGAAAAAACCATGTATCTTAAGTGTGGTGTTTTCTGTCTCAAATGCATATAATGAAAATATAAGTCCATATTGTGGGAGTAAGGGTTTATTTATAGAAACTGAAATACCAGATGTGGAGCCATGATTATTTTTCCAGATAAATCTAGAGACAGTGAATCGATTTCATTAAAGAAAGGAGGACACTTTTAAAAGGGATTTATTTAATGAACTATTTTAAAAGTCTTATTTAAGGTAATGGAGGTCAGGGGGTAGTAGGTCAGTACCTGGGAGAGTCCATTGTTTGGGCGCAAAGTGTCAGAGTGCAGGGTCGCTCCAAGCAGGAGGGACTGGAGTCTTTGTTACCTAGATTTGAATATGGCAGCTGTTAATTCTGGAACGTGGAGGGCATTGTCTGACGCAGAGCCGGCCCCATGGTGAGGGGGCTGGAAAGTTGCAGGGAAGAACAGAGACCGCATCCGGCACAGCTGAAAGAACTTCGCTTCCCCTCCACACTGGTCAGTGACACACAAAATCAAGCATGAAAACAGGAAAAAGTGGTTTTGAAGCTGAGGCGGTCCAAGCCACCCACGATCACTTTGAAAAACTTCTAGCATTCACCTCAGGAAATGACCCTTCACATCTCTTGTTCACATGCTGGCTGGCTGCCCGGAAGTGGGGGGTCAAGGAAGATGATTATACAATTCAGAACTTGCTTGAGTAAGGCCTGAGTTGTCGGCAGGCTTCCTATTAAATTTGTTCCGTGTTGTGGTGGGGGCCGAGGTGATGGGGAGGAGTGTGAAGGCAAGTTGTCATGATGGTGATGTGTTTTAGTTCTGAAGAGAGTGCTTAGAAGATATCGTAGAAAGCCTTTAATTAAGGAGTTTATTTTGACGAACCAAAACACATTATAAAATTCTTCAACTTTGACGTATTTGTGACACGGAGTGGGGCCAGATTGATGGAAATGTTAAATCTGTGGGGTGTTGGGTGCTCAGGTGGATATCTGAGTCACAGATGATTAACTTGGGATATACTTTTTCCACCATCCAGGCCGGCTAATATACTGTGTGGTTGTGGAAGTCCTATCTTAGAGAAGTTCAATTTCTAAAAATCTCAGCACAACTTTATAGAACCCTCAAGAGGGGCACCTGAGTTTTTTGTCTTGGCATCTGGTGCTGCCCTTGTTCTGAAAGGCCTGAAACATTGGCATTGTTATGTTGTCTTGCAGGATAAGATGCGGGATCTGCACCAGGGGCCAAAGAAGTTCCTCTCTTGCTGAATTCAAATGACTGAGTGGCAGAGTCTCCAAGTCCCTGTGGATCTAAAGGCAGTGCTTTAAGTCATAGGATTTCTTTGGATAAATTTTTTAGAAGTTTAACAGAAACCACTTTCTGCCAAGTTAAGTGGGACATTTGTAATCATTGGGTCAAATGGCCACCTGGAATTGTGATATCTTATTGAACGAGTTAGCATTTCTGCCAAATCTATTCAGTTTACGTTGGGCCCTAACTGCCTTTGGCTGAAAGTGGTTACTAAAAGCCCTTCTGTGAGCTTGTGATTGGCCCATTGAGGTATCCACTTGTGCAAATTCCTGCATCCGTCAGTAAATGAGTCTGAAATCACGGCTCTGGGTTGGGCAGGATAGCCCTGACAACTCAGACTTTCATGTGGGTTCAGGACAGAGGTTCTGTGCAAACGGGAAGCACTCTCACTCTTGGCTCACGCAATGGGCTCGTGAGTCCTTTCCTTCCAGGAATCTGACCAAACGAACAAACTCCAGGTTTCCTTTAAGCAAAATTCCAGCCTATCTGTATGAACTTTGGACACTTCTTACTGAACCTTCAGACTTTGGTTTGCCTGTGAATTTGCAAGGTTGCACATATTGGTGACTGGAAAAAGAACAGGGAACTTGGGGCTGGCATTGAAAGGGATGTGGAAAGTTATATTAAAGTCAACTCAAGACTTTTTGCAGTGAAGCCTTGGAAGAGAGAGTTAGCTGAGGGAAAATGGAGGAGGGTAAGGAAGGGGGAGAGGAGTGAGGTAGGAAAGCGGACAGGAGGAGAAGAGGGGAGGATAATGAGTAGATAGTAATTGTTGCGTTAATTAGAGCACTGTGCAGTGAGTATGTCCAGCTCTCCTTGCCAATGAAAACGGGTAATTACGCTCCTCTGTTTCTGATGTTAACCATGGCCTTCTGGCTTGCTTGGCTACTATAACATGGGTGGGTGTGGTATATGTTGCTTACAGGCAGAAATGTAAAAAATGTAGTTCTCCACATTCCCTTCTGTCTGCTGTGATCATAGAAGTGTCTGCTCAGAGGAAGCCCTGTCAGCTTGATCCCTGAGTGACAGTCATGAGCAGAGTCTCTCTGCCAACCTGCATTGGACATGTCATGTGAGTCAGGAAATAAACTTCTGCTAAGGCATTGAGATATTGTTCCCATAGCATAATCTAACTTATCCCATCTAATACAGAAATTAGGACCTAGAAAGAGGAAGCTGGTAAAATGAAACTATACAATAGGTGGTTTTGGCCTGACTGCTGAGCAACAAAACAACTTGTCAGAGCCTAGAAACGCCGTGATCCATATTATATAGTGGCAAGTCATTTGTTAAAAGGGTTGCTTGCAGTAACTTTGAACAGCTATAAATCAATCAAGAAAAGTCCAACAGGACAATAGCATGATGTGCAAAGAATATGAACAGTTAATGTGTTAGTCCAGATCCCCTGGGGCCTGGATGCCAAGACAGGATTACATGTGCAAGGGGAAATGTGTTTGGGAGGAAATGGGAAGGAGCTGGGAGAGGTTGGGCCAGTTCTCAGACCACGATGTGAGTGTGATGCTAAGTGAAAGAAAGCTCGGGCAAAAGTGTCCTAAGCCACCCTACCATCTCAGGAAACTTCTGCAGGGTTGTTGGAGAGTCCTTGGCCAAAGCCACCTTTGGAGATGTCTCATGGAATGGGCCTGCCTCAGCGTCCCTGCCATGCTTGGTAATTGGCTGGGAGCAGAAGGTGGCCGCTGGGACCCTCGGTTTCTTTCAGACCCTTTGGTTGCAGGTCTGCAAGACACACTCTTTTGGTCATCACTGTTAGCTTCTAGATGTTAGACACATGACAAGATGGGTAACCTTCCTCATCCTAAGTGGATTTCAAAGAACACAAAATGTGTTTTCATCCCTCACATAGGTAAGATATTAAAACTATTTGATAATATACTATGTTGACAGAGATGGGGAAAACAGCACTCTCCTCCTTGAGTTATGAGAATTTAAATGGGTATAACCTTCTCAGAGACCATTTTCCATATCTTTCAAAACGACACATGCGTATACCTCTGGCCCAGCAATGCCTTCTTTCTAATCTGTCCCGAGGATACATTCACATACGCACAGAGTATTATGTCCCGAGATATTTACTTAAGCAGTGATTGTAATAGCACAAGAGTGGAGACAAATGCCCATTGATAAGGAACCAATTCTATAAAGTATATCTATCCATAGACTGAAATATGTGCCTTCAAAATAATGAGGCATGTGATGATAAGGCACACTCTGTCAGATTTAAGTTTAAGTTAAAAAAAGAAGATACACCAGTGGTAAAAGGTGCTCGCATTTGTGTTTTGAAAAGAGAAGGAGTCCTAGATATGCATGCCACTTGCATTTCTGGATGGCCACATAAGAGGCTAATGGCAGTGACCGTCCCTGTGGGCATATCCAATGAAGGGATATTAAGGGACAGGAGTGGAAAGGCGACTTAACTTTTCAGTGTTTCTTTTCAGTATTATCTGAATGTTTTACCATGAATATGGATGACCAATTAAAAAAACAATTAAAAGATAAATAAATAAAACAGTAAGAAAAAACTTTCTCTCCCTTCTGCCACTCACAGCCACTCCGTCAAAATGATTTCTTATCCTCCTGTTAAATGGCCATGTAGAGCTGTTCTTGGCGGGCGTGAGTACATATTAATAAATTGAAAAGGAAAAGAACTGAAATCAGCGACCCTGGAATCGTGTACGAGGACAATTTTTGCAGTATTGGGAAGATTCGCCTTTTACCAGGATCTACCCTATAATGAATAGGGCCACCACAATCTAGAGAGAAACCAGAATGCAGTTATAATCAAGTTTGGGGACATGATTTTAAGGTTCCATATATCATTTTGCCAAAGATTTTTTTTTTTTTTAAACAAAACCAAACTCTGCATTTCTCTTGAAGGTCACACACTAGTATGAACCTGGGGGAAACTATTCAGAGAGAACAGAATGTGACGCGCTTCACTTTTTTCAAGGAAAATCAGAACAAGGAACATTATTTTTTTTCAAAGGGGTTGGCCGTTATTTGTATCATCCTCTATGAACATATGTTCTAGGCTCCTATCTGCATCTCTGAGATCTGGTATTCCAGAATCACCCAAGCAAAGGGATCTCAAAGGCCATCTCTTTTTCTGCTCTCATTTTATAGTTGAAAAAACTGGAGCCCAGAGAAATTGAACACATTTTCCAAGGTCATACAGCCAGAAGCTTTTCCATTTTCAGCATCAGAACACTTAATGTGAGCATGGCCCCGTTCTTAAAAATGCTGTGTCCCCGACCACTTCCGGCCACACTTCCCAGAGGCTCAAGAAATCTTTCAGGTGGGCTCCTAATATATGTTCTTTCCCACCTATGCTTAGGCCTTTCCAGAAAGACTATCTGTTGGTACACATTTGCTGGTAAAACTGGATAGCGAGATGGGCACAAAGAATGGAGATTGTTCATTGTTCTCCATTTTAAAATTTATCTTGAGTCCCTCCTTTTTTTTTTTTTTCTTTTCACGATTACCATATGAGTATTGATTTTAATTAGTTCTGTCTATTAAGATTCCCCTTAGGTTCAGAAGCCAGCCTGGTAATTAACTGTTCAACTTTCCTCTTGCTGGCTGTTTTGTTCAGTGAGTTACTGCTGCCCTCGGTCACAAACTGGGATCGATGCTCCTCTATGGATCTGCCCTCAAGAGTTCAGACTGAGATGGAGTTCCTGTCTCTGGTGGTTTTCCCTGTCTTGTTACAGACATGGGAGTAGGAAAACGTGGCTCTCAGACTATATGACCCTTTTCCTATTCATTAAAGCAGATACACTTGCATCAGGGTCTCCAAATGGTGTGTATGTTGCTGGCAAGGATTATGGTGATGTCCAGATGAATGTTTTGAAGCTTGTTTGATATAAAAAACCTCATCATGCTGCACCCCTTTGTATTTTGTGATTAACTTGGTACTTCTGTTGGGTGGAGTAGGGTTTGAAGCAAAAGTTTATAGTCAGTTTTCTCTTCTGCTTTCATGCCATCGTGAGTTCTGGAAGGGTAAAGAATGCTTCTCGGTAGTTTATCGCATGTGTGAGATCTGATCACCCAGAAAATATGTGTGGAGTTTAGAGTTTTAGAATACACATTTTGGGGCTCAACTCCCAAAGTGCATTTTCTGTGCGTATGCACATTTTGCCAACCAATTTGTATTTGGGTTTGTAGTTACGATAGAGTAGGTGTTTGGGATAATGATGGTAATTCTGCACTTTGTTTACAGACAATCAATTAATAAT